CCTCACTTCTTTTTTTCACATCAATAAAAAGCAAATATAAAGCAAATATAAATACTACTATTTTTTGTGTGAGCCCTGGTAGTAATGACTAATAATCCCTTTCTGCTGTCCACCACTGTGTAACTGAGGCTCCCTTCTAGCAGCTGCAATAATCAATCTATATGCATGCAGTCCACTGGTGTTAAATTAGTATAAACACAATTTAGTGTTTGAGTTTCAGAAATGTAGTATTCTGCTAACAGGTAAAATATTCTTTCATGATAATTCTCAAAGCTTTATCTCTGAGTTTCCCTGATTTTCTGAACTGTGGATGAAACAGCTAAGTAGATTCAGAAAGGGAAGTTATAAGATATCAGAGCTGTAATAATGAGCATCTTACTTATCCTGCCACCAGTTTAGTAACCCAGGTTAGATAAGAGGTTCACTGTAGACTGAAATGGCTTACATATTTACTTACTGCTGCAAGAGAAATCTTTACTTTTGTACACATATAAATGTACTTTAGAATTCTCTGTGGGAACTTGTTCATAGCAATTTGGGAACAGCATTATGAACAACAGATTCAATGTGAAATGGTGCAAATTTCACCCTATCCGGATATGCGAATTTGCAAGTGCAAAGTATACTAAATGTGCAGTCTTACTTAATTTTTAACTTCTATTTTATTTTACTGAATGGAAAGAAATTATCTTGTTAAATCCGCAGGATCATTGAAAAATAAACCATATTAATTTGAGACAAAAGACAGTATATCTCTTTTAATTGCTTAATTCTCAACTGTACAATCTGCTAAATTTTTATGAAACTTTAAACTACCAATTTGTTTCTCATTATTGCTTATATAAACCCAACCTGCTTAACTGAATGCAGTTGTTTACACAAACCTTTTATTTGCATGAGATCTTGTTCGAAAGATCAATGCCCACTAAGCTAATTGGTACAACATGTTATCATTAAGTTCCCAGATTGGGTTCCGTCTATCCAGTTCTTTGCTGTGGTGCACCCAGTACTATATGCTACTTTAACCACCACCGACATCTAGAAACATGATAACAAGCTGGATTTTTAAATAAACAAGCCCATTCTTTCATTAACTGATACTTTCTTGCTTACTTTCTGATCATAATTACAGTGCAAATATACAGATGATAATCATTCTAGGAAGGACAAGGAAGTGGGTAGGAGAAGTTATTCACGTCGCAGGGATGTTTAAATCACTTAACCACTGCAATGCACAAAAAATGCTGGGCCCTTCTTTGTGCAATTACACAGGAGTTGTTGTATGTGAATATTCGCAGCACACTGTAAACTTTGCAAGTAAAAAATATGCAGTCACTAGACTTTACAGTAAATCATGTGAAGAACTTTGAGATGCTTTCCCAAAGTGAAAGGTGCTTTCTCAAATAAAGGATTATCATTATTAAATAAGTCTTAGTTTTCTTCAGTAGAATCATCTTAAATTACAATATTGCTTTCCTATAAAGCCCAATGTCAATCCCAAAAAGTGAATGAAAGAAAATAGATGCAAGCCAGAGGAAACGCCTTCTGCATAAAGGTGAACCCGAGGTAGTCAATACATACATGTTTCTTCATATTTCCTCCATTCGGCATTCACTACCTCATTCGGGCACATATCAAAATGTGATTTACCTCACAATAACAAAGTCATTTTCCATATACAAGTTGAAACTACATGCCATTTTATGTTGAGCTTCAAGAAACAATGTGTGTGACATGTAATGTGTATAAGTTTTATCTCCTCGCCAGTTTTACATACATTGCACCACAGAGAGGAAAATAAGTTGTAACTAATACCTGCACAAGCAACCACTAAACACTTACATTTGCAAATGGGTTTGCAGAAAATAACAACAACAACAAGATTCCATTTATAAAGCGCCTTTCACGTCAGGAGGACGTCCCAAGGCGCTGCACAGTTGGGTCATGACCCGAGCAGGGGGGAAATGGTCAGGGTGAGGGGAGGGAAGGGAGGGAGCGAGGAGGGGGAAATGGTCAGGGTGAGGGAAGGGAGGGAGCAAGGAGGGGGAAATGGTCAGGGTGAGGGGAGGGAAGGGAGGGAGCGAGGAGGGGGAAGAGAGTCGAGAGGGGAGCTGAAGGCACGGTCAAAGAGAAAGGTTTTGAGACCGGCCTTGAAGGAGGAAAGGGAGGAAGCAAGGCGAAGGCACTGGGGGATGGAGTTCCAGAGCCTGGGGGCTGAGAGGCTGAAGGCCCGACCACCGATGGTAGGGCGGTTGGGGCGGGGGACGTGGAGCAGACCAGAGCCAGAGGAACGGAGGGTACGGGCAGGTAGGTAGGGGGATAGTAGGTTGGAGAGGTAAGAGGGAGCAAGGCCGTGAATGGCCTTGTAGGTGAGGATGAGGATCTTGAAATCAATCCTCTGGGGGATGGGGAGCCAGTGGAGGCGAGCGAGGGTGGGAGTGATGTGGTCCCGAAGCCTGGTGCGGGACAGTACACGAGCTGCAGAGTTCTGAATGACCTGCAGCTTGTGGAGGGAGGTGGCGGGAAGGCCGGCGAGGAGAGAGTTCCCATAGTCCAGCCTTGAGGTGACAAAGGCGTGGACCAGGGTTTCAGCAGCGTGAGGGGTGAGGTAGTGCCGTAGTCTGGCGATGTTCCGAAGGTGATGGAAGGCGGTGCCAGTTGTAGTGCGGATGTGAGGGAGAAAGGACAGCTCAGGGTCGAACAAAACGCCGAGGTTCCTGACTGGCTTTGAGAGGTGGAGAGTGCAGCCTTGGATGCTGATGGTGTCAGCGCCTGAGGTGCGGAGGCGCTGACGTGAGCCAATCAGGAGGGCCTCGGTTTTTCGCACGTTGAGCTGAAGAAAGTTGTCTCTCGTCCAGGACTCGATGTCGGACAGGCAGGCTGTCAGGACATCGGTGGTCGTGGAGTTGAGAGTAGAGGAGGAAAGGTAGAGTTGGGTGTCATCCGCATACATGTGGAAGTTAACTCCATGTCTGCGGATGATGTCACCGAGGGGGAGCATATAGAGGGTGAAGAGGAGGGGACCGAGGACAGAGCCCTGAGGGACACCACATGAGACAGTACGGGGGGTGGAGGAGAAGCCATTCGTTGAGACAAAGTGAAATTGAGTGTGATTCAATAGTGAAACAACCATGAAGATCTCTTTGACTCTACATTAAAGGGGAAGGAAACTCAAGAAGGAGCACTTTGTTTTCAGTGTTTTTTCCAGACATTGAGGAAATATATACCTGTGTATAGTATGCATAATAACTTGAAGCAAGGAATTCTCACTTTCCTATATTTCCTGGACTTCACTTCTTCCATTCCTGGGCTGTCACAGTGTATTGTTATGGGAAGCAGAATGTTTTTATTGAGTTGTACTAGGTGCCAGCTTTAGATAGACTTGGACACTACTCCAGAGACACCCAACCCAGGGAAAATATAACACAGGTGGTTATTCAGTAATATCTGCTTGTAGTATTCTATTCCAGAGGTGAGCCTATTTAGGAAGTATTCCCTCTAGTAGATGTTTCTTCCCTTTTAAATGAAAGTTAACCTAGAACAGAAAATAATTTTACTCGAAGTCCGTTTTAGTTTGACTCAGTTTTGTCTCTGAGTCAGAAGTTTATGGATTCAAGTCCCATGTCGGGACTACAGGATCATAGTCGACACTGACACTCCAATATTAGACTTCATTGTTAAAACTGTAATTCTTTGGATGAGATGTTAAACTGAGGTGCTGTCTGCCTGCGAAGTTGAACACAAAACAATCCGATGGCATTATTCAAAAAATAAAGGGAGTTTCTTCTGATGCCCTGGCCAACAATCCCACAGTTGGACATTTGATCATTCACTTTATGGCTGTTTGTGGGACATTGCTCTACACAAATAAGCTGCTGTGTTCACTTACGAATACAGTCATTACATTTGAATAATTCTGTGAAGCACTTTGAAATCAAGACGCTGCATTAGTTAATATTTGTTCCACTCAATTTGTATATCTTTACATGAATATATGCAGTTTGCATTTCTCATGCCACATGCAGTAGTAACATGTGCAACGTGCACTGTTAATTCCATGGAGCTATATATGTAAAGAAAGTCGATTCACCCCAACCAGTTCTTGTTGATTTGCTTTATTCTTAAATGTATTAGATTGTACAATAGCCAAGCAATTAGGGAGTGGGATTCAGAGCCTCATCCACAAAAACACTCATTGAGCTTAAGACTTGATCATCAGAACATAAGAAACGCTAGACTTAAAAAGACCAAGGTCCATCTAGTTCCCCTTCCACCTTCCTGGCGGTTGCATGCACATATGTCCCAAACTACCTATGTACTATATCCCTTAATGTTATTTCCTAAAAGAAAACTATCTAATATGTGTTTGAAAGAATCAACACTTCCTGCTTCTACCATAACAGCAATAAAGTGAATGACCAAATAAACAACTGCAGGATTTATTGACCAGGACATCAGGAGAAATTCCCTTTTTTTTAACAATACCATTGGATTTTTCCACAGGTTCACTATTCACTCACTGAAATAGTGTTTGCGTAGGTTTGTTCTGAATTTATTCCCCTTCAATCACAGGCCGTGTCCTCTGGTTCTACTATTCTGGACAAGTTGAAACAGCCTGTCATGATCTATATTGTCTAGCCCCTTTAGAATCTTAAAGGCAGCAATCATGTTGTCTCTCCATCTTCCAACTAACAATACTGTATAGTTGCTCGAACACAACATTTCCACACACCAACCCTGGGATACATATGTAGTACCTGTGTATGTTGCCTCTTACCTGTAAGCTGTTGTAAACATATACATGTGTCAAACGTGTCAGTCATATGTCTTGTTTCCTTGAAGTAAAATACATTTCTGTTTGCACAGAGTTGAGGGGGAACTCTATAAAATGATGGATGCTAAAATGCATTTCCTTTTATGGTACAGTATTAGGAAATCTTGACCTTTGAAGACTTCTTGTTGTTTAGCACCACTTCGCCAAGAAACACAATACATAAAGATGACTTTCAAGTTTGATTGTTTTCCACTTATTTATTAAATCACATTCACTGCCCGCAATGTTTAGAAAAAGGACATTGTAAAAGTTTATCGATAGGTTTAAAATCTGATGCGAAGACGAGTGAACTCGCAAGATTGTATTAGGATTTCACTAGATCAGATAAATTGTATTCGAGCACTAACTTTCCACACATCAAGAACGCTGAAGGTGTTTTTGGAGCAGGACTACTTCTTTACGCCAATGACCGCATAGCACCGGGGGGATTTGATGGGATCAAACAACTGCACCAGAGCCGACCAGGCTATGCTTTCCTGTAAAAGAGATACCTACGTTGAAAAATACCTTTGCAATGGTTCATTAAAAACGTCAACTTCACATTGAATACACATGTGTTTCTGTGCTCAAAATATTCTACATAACAATAAAATCCTTCTGTAATTGCAGAGTTTACCATGTGTATTTAATTCAAAGTAACTAACACAGGTAATTCAGAGCTGCTGAGGTACCTTAATTGACTGGAGTTTGAACAGCTCATTCTGAACAGCACAATATTTCAAACATTTTAATAGGTTTGCATAATGTCTTCTGTCTAATAGCTGTCGTTCAAGAGTTTTCTTATGATTATGAGAGACAAACATGTAACTGAATCAGATGTAAAGAACATCTGCTAGCCATACGTTTTAAGGAATGTAAAGCAGTATATGAATAAGAAGTACTGTAACGGTTTCTGAAATAAATTTAAAATGAAAACAAAAAGAAGCACAAATGTGTAATTTTATGTACAGAATTTCCAAAACAAATACTTCTGGAACAACAGAGCTACTCTATTTATCGCACAGTGAAGCAGAGAAAAAACTGTCTACAGACTCACCTGTTCCTTCAGGTAACATAACCGGTCCAAAAGTATTAGACCTTCAATACACGGGGCTAAGGTTACCTTTAGCTGTAAGGAGAGATAAAGCAATTCATGTGCTTAAATAGTTCAGAAATGGCAGGTTTTCAAAAACGGACTAAACATACCTTTAGCTCAATGAAGTATTTGAACAATTTTAATTATTAATCTATTTAAACAGCTGCCTGAAATTGTACGTGTTAGATGTTGAAAGATTCCAAACTTCTGCTCACGTGGCACAGGTTCCTTTGTCAAGAGCGTTCTGCGATTCCACGGCAATTTAGTATCAAACAAATTGAAGTAAAAGTTAATGGAGTAGACTGTACATAAATCTGCCTGAGTATTATATGAGCAACGGCCTCTTCCTTTCCCTGCAATTAGCAACATTCTAGAATACACCGGACACCAGAAAAAAACTGCGGAAATCCAGCTCCCAAATTAAGGTTGTATTTAAGATTTTAGGAATGTTCCAAAAAATTCTGTACAATCTTAAATGTTAAAGACAATGGTCTTAAGGTTTAGGCTCAAGATATTTTACTTCGAGACACAGTATGCTCTTTGTTAGTCACTTTAGATCACCTTACAATGAAAATTTCACCTAGTCATTACACTTTGCAGTATATCATGCAAAGTGCTTTGAGACCTCCTCCCAATGTGAAAAGCACAATATCAAATATAATGATTGATTGATTATTAAAATGGAGGTGAGGGATTTAAGTGCCTAAGAAAGAGTGTCATTGTACTAACCACTCTGAGGTCATTTACAGTTTGGACACCATTTCTCTTGGACTAATACTACCAATGGACTACTAATCCAACTCAAATTATGGGCAATTTAGTGCTGTGGATCCAGATCTTCTATAAACCAGTCGGGGCCTGTTCAAACACACTCGATTTAAGATATTTGTAGCCAACAAGGTAAGCAGAGAATATTATCACATCAATATGGGTTGGATTCATCTCAGATCCCAGAGGTGACTGAACAATTTATCCAGTTCCTTCAATGGACCACTATACTCTTTATTGATGAAATTTAAACCAATGCAACTCTGTTATTTAGCATATTGAAAGAATTCTCTCCTCCAATGACTGATAACTTTTGAAGAGAGTATTTTCCTTGTAGTGAATGCAGATATGGATTTTTAAATGTGACTCGCTGCCCAAGGTGGTGGGTAAATCAGATAGTATAGATGTATTCAAGAGGAAGCTAGATATAGACACAAGGGAGAAGGGAATAGAAGGGTATGGGAGGGAGTAAGCAGTGAGTGGAGTTATAAACACCAGCACAGATTGGATGGGCCAAATGGCCTGTTTCCATGTCTATGTAAATCTATGTGACTGGACTGTCAGGCTAACAGCTTGAGTCCATTTTTGTCCATTTCTCAAAGCTTACCCGGTTAAAGGCTTCCAACTCTTTCCATCGGGGCCTGTATATGTCATAATAGCCTTGAATTAAACTGTCCGACAACTGAAAAATGAGGGAAAAAGGACATATCGAAGTCCAATTATAACCTTGAAATTAATTGGAACTTTTCCAGCTAATGTTATAAACATACCTGCCAAAGGAAAAGGAAATACAATTACTACAATAGCAGTAATACAAGTAATAAATTAACAGTGCGTGGCTCCGGCTGGGGTTTATCTTGGTAGAAGCTATGTGAACTTCTGCATGCATGCATGCCATGTCATTTCTCAGCACTTTTAGCAAAATAAGTCACAACAGAACATGACAAACATCAACTTTATATTCAAAGTGGTTCTGTCTTCATGAGAAGTGTTTATCAATTTTTTTTTGTTTGGATTGGGGAAAAGAGCCAGATCTCTGTGCTTTGCATTGAGATCATATTAAACAATGTCTTCTCAATTTACGGATTTATGGCGTAGCATTGACCGTAAGACATGCTAAAAAAGGTGCCAAAAATTCTTTCACAGAGATGCTGCACTTTTAAAGCGCCTTTTTCAACAGCATTTGCAAGATTTGTACAAATGTTTCTGCTTGCAAATCGCCAGATGTGTGACATCCTTTTGTTCACCACTAGGTGGCTCCAGCAGACTTAGCAAAATCCTCCAGCTAGAAAACGTGTTATAAGTAACTCATGGCCTCAAGTAATTACGAAATCTAACTGTTTGGAAACAGTTTAATAAATGTATAATTTTATTGCTTTTCCACATGAGACAAATAAAATTTAAAGTACACAATATAAAAGGCTCCATGCAAAGCAAAACTGAGAGGGTAGGAAATGAAGGAAATGATGAATACTTGAATGACTCCCAATGGCTTTCAATGCACTGTTGCCACACCATCCATTGAAAACCCACTGTAAGACATCAAAGCTACATTCAACCTTTCCTCAGGTCATTTTCACATGGAGATTATACTGCAGTGTGAAGCCACATCGGCTGGGGACTTAAATGAGGAGGAGCAGTAAGATGAAAAGCATAAATCTTTTTACAACGACTATTTCTAGTGAATCCCTACACTCAAGCCTACAGTATTGGAATTTCAGTACATTGTTAAACTTCATTATTGGTCATTGGTAATCAAAATTAACTGTGCTGAAATTCTCCATTTATCTGCTAAAAAGTTTCCAGTGTGATTTTGAATTAATTTAAATATTTTTCACGTTTTGCTGTAACACAAAAGCCATCCCCTGTGACAAGCTATCTGATAGCAGAGAAACTTTATCCAATATTGTCAGCATTCAGAGAAAAAGACAGACCTTATGTCTTTCTTGCTATAAGAGATACAGATTCAACTACCACCCGACAATTTCATACATAGCTGAAGGTTGGATATATCTTATAGCTATATAAAAAAAACTAGAAAGCCATGTACAGTGCTGCTTACATAATATAATTTATGATACTGGGTTTTTCAGGACTGATTAACAGGTCTTATTCTTAGAGGAATATCTTAACATATGACAATTCTGCAATGGTGACTAGATACTATAAGGGCAAAATAATTTTTGAACTGTCATAATCCGTTTATTAATAGCGGAATTTGTTCCGAACTTGCAGAAGCCAATCTTTTACTGTGAAACGTGTTTAGCCAGCTATGAAAAGATCATGCTGTGATTTCTAGACAAAAGGGTGATTAAATATTGTTTGCAGCTGCTGCAGATGTTAATAAAGTATGTACAAAACAAGGATGCCATATAGTCCGTGATCTGAACATTTTCACAAAAACAGGAGATCAGGTCATTATAACTCTACCAACACACTGAAGGATCCTCTCCTCAACCCCTCTCACACACTCATACAAACACAGTGTAACTGTCACACTTTAAGCTATTCCATGTGGATCAACAATGAATTCTGCCAATTAAACAGCTTCCTGGAAAACAGAAACAAAAATTGGATTGAAACGCTTCTCAAACAATACTATACAATGAAGAGCATTTGCATTTCAGCTGTCACTGCTGTCTCAGTAAGTAGGTCTGCTCCAATGTGACACATGTATTTCTACTATTCAGTGGAAGGAAGCGCAAATACCAGTGTAATTTATTTTCTGAAACATAACAGTTTCTTATTATATCTTCTTCTAATTTTTATTATTATAACATTGCCGTTGAAACACTTGCCACTTTGATCGGCCCAACAAACCCAGACTGATTAAAATTAATACATTCCAACATAGTGCTATGGATGTGCTGCATTGTCGGAGGTGCCATCCTTTGGATGAGACATGAAACTGAGGTCCTGTCTGCCTGGTGGAAGTGCCTTCCTTCTGGTGGACATTAAAGATCCAATGATGCTAATTAAAAAGAAAAAAAAGTTTCTTCTGGGGTCATGGCCAACAATCACCCAAATAAAATTGAACACTCACGTCATGGCTGTTTTTAGGACATTGCTGTACCAAAATTGACTGCTGTGTTCACCCAGAAACTACACATTCGTTTTACTTTACTGAATACCCTGTGAAGTGCTACGAGACATCATATTGACATGAAAGGCGCTGCATCAAATGTAAGGATCCGTATTTTTATGCAGTAAGAAGAGAACCGCCTTTTAGAAGCAAGCATGGATGCCTTAATTCAATGTATCCGGTAAATAGTCTCTCTCTCTCACCCCCTCCCACCCCCCCCCCCCCCAGCTTCATTAAAGGCCTGTAATAAGAGAGGTACTGCGGAAGGTGCCAACTTTCTTTGCTTAAATAAAATCCAGATGAGAATCCATCGGAACGGGAAGTCTCTATGCAACTGAAACATATTAATAATATGTTCTCCCGCTCAAGCAATAATTTTTTCTCTTGCTCTTCCACTTCAGTTGATGATTGTTTTGAGTATTTTTTTTTCCACAATCAGTCTCAGAACAGCAGCTCTTTGATTTTTCTTGGGTTACATCGGAAACATTTCAAAGTAAACCATCAATATGATTTGGACTTATAGTTGAATTATCACAGAATCTCCAAACGTTACTGAGAGGGCTAAATCATTTTACTTTCCTAACCAGGTGGGACGTTTGGAGCTTTAGGTTAGAAACAACACTCCTTTTTGACATGCATCAATGGTAGGCCAGTTTGCTAGTCTGCACTTCACTATTTTTTTCCATTTGGCCAAATATTTAGTCTCTCAAACTTCCAACATGAGGTGTTGCTGTAGCACAGGCCATACCCATTTTGAGAAGGCAGGCTTGGCTGCTTTCAGGGCAATGTCAACTGCCTCTTTCCCAAGACTCCGGGCTTCATATGAGAGCAGCCTCAGTGGTGGAGCAGTACCTCGGCCCTGCTTGGCACATTCCCAGGATGGCACAGCAGAGATCAGCAAGTTGCCAATGATGCAAACCCACATCTATCATTTTGTGGCAAAGCGTATTGGCATTTCAATATGTTGTGCCACCACATCAAGCCACATTCCCTGTGCCATTTTATTAACAGTCACCAGTGTACAACCGTCCTCTTTAGTGTGCAATATCTAACATTAAAACAAATTTCCCCAATCTTCAATCCTTCTGACCACATCAAATTATTATACTGTATGATTTAAATTCATAAAATTGAAGACATGCTTGTCACTGTATTTTAGCATAATACTAGCCTTGTTAAAACATTCCATATAGAAGTTTCCTTGCAAAAACTAAAATGAACTTGCAGAGGGCATTTCCTTCCATTAAATTAACATCAAATTGACTTTACCAGATGGTTCAGTTGGCAAGTGCCTTGGACAGAGTGGAACAAAGCCAATCAGGCTGGAGAGGTCCAGCTTTGTCTCCTAAACTGTGCTGAATAAGTATTTACTTATACACAGTCACTGCACTTGACAGCAATTCCCTCTGAAGTGCTTTGAGATGTTTCAGCATTACAGGCATTATGTCCAATAGAAGCATTTTTTTTAAGCTGATCTCAGCTGATCTTGGATGTAAAAACCTGCAGGCGTTTTGGAGGGGGATTTGGGAATCAGCCAGGGTTCCTGATTGATATCCAGTGACCTCTGCTGAAAAATCCACATGTGTAGATATTGGAGAGGGCAAGAATTGTATTAGTTGTGATTCTCCTCCTGGTCAAATCCCGCTGGTGCTCAATCTCTTAGATCTCACGCATGAAGAACAGTCAGTTGGGGTGATACTAACAGGTCAGCCAGTACCTGTGTACCCACAACCCAGCACGATTCAGCAGAGGAAGAAAATTAGAGAAAGGAAAAAGAGAAAAAAACACATTCAATTGACTTAATGCAGTATAAGAAACCTGCTTCATACAGGACTCAGCATTTTTAAAAAAAACATTGCAGTACCTTCACAAATCCCTACTGATGTGTACGCAGAGGAGGTAAGGTTTGGATTCCTGAAACAAAACATTTTGTTTTTCTTCTCCACAGCTGCAAAAAAATCCAGTGGACTAGTTTATACATACAGCCCCCCAGGAAACTCAGAATTCCAAATTCTTTTCAAAATAAATTTGCATCATGGCTTAGTTATTCCAGTTGAATATTTGTAGTGGTATTCGGTGATGGGGGGGGTTGCAGCTCTCTCTTGGTTCAGGATTTGAAGCAAAAGAGTTGGTAATTTAGAAACTCCATGGGATTTCTTTCATTACATATGACCCTTAGCAAGGTCTGCGACTTTACTAGGATTTCAGGCCCTAGAGGATAATAATAATAATAATCCTTGCATTTGATATAGCGCTTTATCACATCGTTGAGACATCTCAAAGTGCTTCACAAGATATACTGTAAAGTGGATTAACTGTATTTTGTGGGCAAAATTCAGCAACCAGTTGTGCACAACAATGTCCCACAATCAACCATGGCAGAGGGGAATAGTTGGCCAGGACACCGGGAGAAACTTCCTCTCTTTTTAAATAGTGCTCTGGGATCCTTAACGTTCACCTGAACAGACAGGTGGGATCTCAGTTTAATGCCTCATCTGAAGGCTGGTACCTCTAGCAATCCTTCGCACCCCAGCACCTCCTTGGAATATCATCTTAAGAGTATTCGATCCAAATTCTGACATGGTGCTTGAACTCACAATCTTCTGACTCAGAGGTGAGAGTACTACCATCGAGCCAGGCTGACACACTGATACATGATGATGAATGAGAATGCCACTCTTGTTGGGCCACACAATTGCCTCACAATCCCTTGAATTTCAAGAACTTATTCACTGAATGCCTCTAAAGTAAATGCACAAAAATTGACCTTGACTGTAATTATTATAGGCTTCACTGCAAGATTGTACACAGCAGCTAAAATGTTGTTGTGCCTTACTAGTGCAGTTATAGCTACAATACAACAACAACAACAACAACAAGATTCCATTTCACGTCGGGAGGACGTCCCAAGGCGCTGTACAGTTGGGTCAGGACCCGAGCAGGGGTGAAATGGTCAGGGTGAGGGGAGGGAAGGGAGGGAGCGAGGAGTGGGTAGAGAGTCGAGAGGGGGGCTGAAGGCACGGTCAAAGAGAAAGGTCTTGAGACCGGCCTTGAAGGAGGAAAGGGAGGAAGTGGCGAAGGCACTGGGGGATAGAGTTCCAGAACCTAGGGGCTGAGAGGCTGAAGGCCCGGCCACCGATGGTAGGGCGGTTGGGGGCGGGGGATGTGGAGCAGACCGGAGCCAGAGGAACGGAGGGTACAGGCAGGTAGGTAGGGGGATAGTAGGTCAGAGAGGTAGGAGGGAGCAAGGCCGTGAATGGTCTTGTAGGTGAGGATGAGGATCTTGAATTCTCATTTGTATTTTCAATCTCTCTTGATTGACTTACGGTCAGCTTTTCCTCTTCCCGTTAATTAGTTGTGACCTCCGTACTACGGTCCTGGTATTGCATGCAACGTACTGCTTTGCACTGGAATGATTTGGTGGCATAATGTGACCTGGGCTTACAATAAAAAACACAAAAACTGCTCCTGAATCAGGGAAACTTGTTTTTTCTTGCCAACTTAATTTTAGATATATATGTCGAACAATTCCGTGAAGAAATGATAGGAATAATGACATACAACGGAAGAGCTATTCTTTTCATTATAAATGCATGAATCTACAATTCAGTGTTGGAAAGCATCCTGCACACCACACCATCATGCAATGGTCTGACAGTATCTGATGTATTACAGTATTTGGGCAATAGCCAGTACAACCAGCTATATTTTGTCATTTCTTGTTACTGCATCTAAAGATTTATTAAGTTTTCATGCTGAAATGTTTTTTTCTGCAAAGGCCAAGCAGTTATTTTGCTGCTGTTGTGAATTTGTTCCTTTGTTTTGTCGTTTCTCCTTCAGCTGAGATGATGGGTCTATCTGGCCCATCGACTTTATCACAGCTTGTTACTGATAAGCACAAGACACCACACTGATAGGTTAGCGAGCTTTTCACCTGCTGGTCCAGGCATCTCAGTACAATCAAGCTCGCCCATTGAAGAGTCGCTCAGATCAAAATGGAGATGTTCCTTCTAACGCATTGACTTATTTATATTTATAATGGGGGAAAACGGGATGAGTACACATCATCCAAACGGCAACCCTTAGTGAGAAGGAGAATTTTTCAGTGAACATCCGGATAACACCCAGCTATTTGTTTACCAGATTTGACAGTCCAGCGCCCTACCAGGATCTATCTGGATTTACAATTGGATCTTCCTCATAATATGTTCTTTGGCAGATCTCAGACTATACTAAAAGCATTAATGTGGAATCCTGTTGTGTAGTGGTTAGCACATTCGCCTCACAAGCAAGAGACCTGAGATTGATTCCCAGGCAGGTCGAAACATTGGCAAGTTTCCTTACTCAACACGCCTCTGTTTACCCAGCAGTAATTAAATAAAATGTAACGGGGATAAAAGAAGTAAATCTTTTACTATGCAAATTTGTTGGGTATCTGATTTGTATGTGTCAGGAAAACAGACACCCAACACAATGGAAATGAAAACTAGATCTTCTAAATCAAGCATTAAAACAAAATACCAAATACACAGTCAATATATTTTACGTTGAATCCTGTGAAGTACTTTGAGATGTCCTCCTTACTTGAAAGACACCATATCAAATGCATGCATTCATTTTTTAAAACAGGGCATCAGCATCTGCTAATCGTCTTTAGCAGTTGGTGTTTGAGTGCACTGCCCTCACTCTTCATTGCTGCAATGATGCTTTGAGGCCAGGGACTTTTATGGTACTTTAGAAAAATTAAGTTTTGCAGTGGTTTTATTATTTTCAGTATGTCGTTTTGTTTCATCCTCATTCACAGTTCAGTTCTGACATGATTCCCTAGAATTTTATGCAATGGAAATTGTGACTGTAAGAGGCTAATTACAAGTGATGTTTGCATTCAAGAAGCTACCTTCACATCTGACTGTCCCTGCCTGTTAGTTCATGTTCCATGAGCTGAAAAACTTCACATCAGATTGACGTGCTCAAATTCATTTTTCTAACTGCTGGAGTTAAAACAGCTAATTTTAAAGTCTGAAATATTTTTTGAAGGTATACTGGGGAATACAACAACAAGATGCATTTATATAGCATCCTTCTCGCATAGTAGCATGTTGGAGCGCTTATAAGTGAGGAGTATTGGGAAGGGGAATAAGAGGGTTTGGAGCTCATCTGTAGTATAAACACCATTATGGGCTAGTTGGGCTGAATGGCCGGTTTACAACAGCAAAGGTAGCTCTTCATTTCCAGTACTTTGTCTCACTTGAAAACTGATTAGCTTGTATGAGACTGGATATGAAATTTTCAATTTGTATGTTATTCAACGAAGTCCTACACAAATCATGTTCCCAGTAACAATGTGGGTAAGATTTGAAAAAATCTAAAAGAAATTACCAACCTTGGAGTCATCCATTCCCAGCTTCTGCATTGATTTTCTGGTGTAATCCACGAAGCCAGAAGACTTGGAAAAGATCTTTCCAACGTGTTTGCTGCTGTAAGTTTTTAAACACAGGAAAAATTATTTTTTCAATTACATTCACTACAAAATGGTTTGTGTTCAATGCAAAAGAAATACCTCAATTAAATATACTGTCGCTGTTTTAACCCACGGGTTTATGGTAGCACATTGGAACATATGATACTGGGTCATCTTGCAACCTTTCAAGATTGTGCAATATGGGTCATTCCTTCACAAGGATGAAAGAATCATAAAGGTTCCTGGTAATGACCAGCTTGCAGTTAGTTGTTGATCGTGTGAATGGTCTTCAATTTCATAGCCAGGAAAAAAAATCCAAAATATCCATAAATACATCATCCATTACAACTTCACTTCTTAACTACACTGTGATAAGCACCATATGGCTTCACTAATGAGCACTGGCCATGCAGTCGAAATCCTACAGACCTGCACTGTGGTATCTGGTTTTATAATAGTATTATGCTTAAGATTAATAACTTCTATAATCAATTCCTATTTTACTTTTCACCTTACTTTATTAAAAGTTAAATAACTTGGACAAACCGAGTGGTCAAATGTGTTAGAATACTGCTCTTGATCACCTCTGGGACTCAAGAGCTCAAACCCAGTCCAGATAGATTAGATGAAAGTCTGCCCTCTCTCAAAGCACTATAATGGGCTCTATGTGAAATGAATTCAGCTAGTCTCAATCCAGTTCCCAGTGGATTGCCTTACATAGAAACTGGACTTAATTTGGCACTGGTTGAAAGTTCAGCAATCTCTCCACAGGAGGCCGTAGGGAAAGGCTATGTGAGAAATGGAAATATTACCCAGCTACAAATAGGGAAGCTCCAAGAGTTTCGGATAAGCTATAAAGTCAAAGTAACATATGAATAGTTCTCCACTGCATTCACTACTATTTTAACTATCCTGCATCTGCCATAAATGCAGCACTTGACATAATTGGTACAGTACGTCCAACTATTTTAATTTTTATGAAATTGGGCTTGGTCCTGACATTGTCTGAGAAGAGCAATAAGCCTCAGCTGTCGGCGCAGTAGAACTAGGGCATTAGGGAGGGATTGATGCTGTCGGCCGATGTAAAATAGAAACAGTCTTCCACGTCCGTGTTCTGTCATCACTCAGGTTGAGAGAAGCAGAACTGGTAGCAGAAGTCATCAATTTCAGAACTGTAAGGTTTGTGAGCGAATATCTGTGCTCATTATGGTGGCTGCTCATTATGCCAGTGTTGGTGAACGGAAAATACTCCTGCTAGTTTCACACAGTCTCAGCATCGATCACTGCTAATAAAGCATGAGGTAGATTACGTTTCAAGCTCCCTTTTTGTCTGGTCTAATAAGTGCCTCATGTTCAGAACAGTATCCCCTCTATCAGCATGACTCTTTCCACTCCTAAATGAGATCACCCCAAATGGCTGCCAAATCATTAGCATGTCCAATCGTGTGGTCTTGTGCGCGCCAAGAAGTGGATTGAGACTTTGCAAACTCCTCGAAGGATCTTTAGCAGTCAACAGAGAGAGGGAGAGAGGAGATATTTGGTCCTGTTACGCCTGGGCTAAAATTAAATTCAGAAAGGACAGTATTCAGCCCTACACGACCATTATACAGCCCCCTCTCTTCCTCAAAGTTTTTTTTGGGGGTCAGATTTGGTCCATTGACTCTGCAGGGTCTCTCTGAGCAAGCTGTACTTTTAATCCCACTGCCTTGCCCTATCCCCATACCCTTTCAAGCCTCTAACTTTCATATACTTGTCTACTTCTCTCTTGAAACCCACAATGGACTCTGCCTCCTGCAAATCTCAAAAACGTACTTTGTATTTTGCTCCACATTGTGCCTCTTCCTGTTCCCGTAGTGTTCCTTGAAGATGACCTGCAGGACTGCACGGTAAAACAAGGATTCTGAAGGAAGCTGTTGGCAACAAAAAGGCACATAGTGCAACATAGAGTCACATCTATTGTCGAGTCAGAAACAAGTACAATTCACCACAGACACACAATCGGGGTGGGGTGGGGGGGGTGTGGATTAAGAATGTAATAAGTTTGATAACAAAGTTCTGTAGTGACCTCGACAGATGTTCACAATACTATGCACATGGATGACAGCTGCACCAAAGACTACTTACATTGAATGGTTTATTCAATTGTTTAACTTTCCTCTATGTGCCAAAAGTAAATCCTAGTGGAGTTTGCTTCTCCCGTGGCTTCTGCTGCTATTTACTACAAAACAGACACAGATGGGGTGTCCGTTCTGGAATTTTGGGAGATCTCAACTCTAATGAAGGGCAAATAGCTGAACTCTCTCATATCGTGTCAGAACTCATCCTGCAAAAATAGCCGAGTAACAGTGAGCTGTTAAATTTAATTGAAGGTTATACAAGCTAACAGTTTCTACTGTGAATAAGTGGCTCACCAAGAAGTCACTTTTGAGCTAATTGTATGGAATTATATGTCAAACAAACAGGCCATTCAGCCCAACTTGTCCTTGCCAAGTAATTGTCTTACTTCTGCAAAGCAAAATTAACCAGCTTTCAGTTCTTTTAGATTCATCAATATTAGGTCTCATCTCTTTCTCCAAATCAGTACATATACATGGAAATAACAAACCCAACAGAAACAAAAAACAGTTTCTAATCAAATATCCATCAATGAGTTTGTCACTTCAGCCAAGTGATGATAACATGATGAAGATTTTATATCCTATCAAGAAACAGAATGGAATACACTTCAGAGCTCTGCAGAATATCCATTGTGCCATGTTTGCTCTCAACTCCTCAGTTAAGATAAGCGGTGAGGAATTACTCGAGGGCAGGTTCCCTTGTATCAATCTTATGCTTCAGAAATAACAACATTATAACAAGACACCTTGTCTGGTTGAAAATATTTGTAGTTAAATTAACCAAATTGTTATGGTCTGACGGCCTCACTTTCAAGTCCTTGCGCAAACTATATATACTAATCAAAAAGACTGATTAGTTAAGACTCCGTTTTTTAGTTTCTAGGTCAAATTGACTATCAATTTGAAAAGTTCCAATATCATGCTGTGTAAGAGACTCAGGAAATACACTATAAATGCACTTTCTCTGCACTTGTTTACTATCACATCAACTCATGGGAGTAGCATTAAACTGAAGTACTATGGTGACTGATTTTCAACCCCCCCCACTTGGTCCAAAACAGTTACAGCTCTTATTGTCCAAACACTTCATGTTAATTGCCTTTAGATTTTCTGGGAAACATTACCTGAACAGATGTTGAAAATTGGTACCTTGGTATCACGTTACCTTAACTGTGTGTTGGTCCTGTTGCACTACACTGCACATGATAGAGTGGATGCAATGCACAAATATACACCACACAATCGCAAATGCCTGAGCATCTTTCCAATTGAAGCCACACATTGTAGCTGGCAGGACATGTGGTCACTCAGCATTTGGTATTCGGGCATTCTACTGCAATGCTTAAATGTGGGAATCCACAATGTTACATTGCAGCGTTCACCCCTTTTCTTAAATAAAAAACGGTTTCATTTTGTTTAAAGATTCTTGCTCCTGTCAGAATTCTTGTCAAGTGATACTGTCAAGTCAATTCTTGATGTCGTTAGAAGTGACGAGACACCCCAAGGTAAAGGAAGAAGAAAAATGCAGCAAATTCATCAGGGAGGCAACAGATACCTTTTCTGGATGATTTCAGTGAACTGCCTACCAGTGTGCTTTGTCCCCCACAACCGAAAACCGATGCTGTGTCCAGCAGTTCTATAATCACTTGAGCATTCATTCTCAAATACTTTCTGACAACTGTTAAAAGCCAATGCATGTTCCATCAAACACAGTTATATTAAAGCTCAGGGTAAAGTTGCCATTCGTCACTGGTTGTCAAAGAAAGAAAAGAAACATTTATACTTGCCCCTTGGCCGACCGTCACTCTTTCCAGCGGCTAAAAAAAATGAGAACACAAGCGTGTTGAACTCTGTGTAGAGCGACACCGTAAAGCAATCATTTAGCCAAATCTATACACAATAAACTAAACGGCTGATGTGGAAACATACCAGACATGCAGACATTCTAGCGTTCCGGCCACATTGCCAGACACTGTCTCTCAAATACTGGCTCATGGGAAAGCCCCACGATCCCTGGGAGCAATCTGCAGAGAAAGAAAGAGAAGTTCAGGAAACGAACCTTATCCATCCATTGTTCGGAGCTGTACTTCAAAATATCATTTTCAGATTAGATACCAGTAATACATCAGTTCCATAGTTTTCACCTGTACGCACATAAATCAAGAAATCCATCAAGTCCTCCTGTTACATTAGTTTAAAAAGAACTCTCAACGCCATGAATCCGTTACCATCTGTCAAGGGCTGTTGGGATTATTTGGAGTTTCCGGTCTCTTGTTATTCAATTTGTTACAAAACTATGTTACAACGTTCTGCAATTATGTAACTTAATAATAATAATAATCCTTGTATTTGATATAGTGCTATAACGTCGTTGAGACGTTTCAAAGTGCTTCACAGAATATATTGCTACGCTTGCAACCAGAGGATCCAATATGGAATGTAGATTTTAGTATTATTATACTTTATATTATATTATTATACTTTATATTATATTTTATATTATTATACTTTAATTATATTATATAATTAAAGTATAATAATATATTATAAAATATAATATAATTATATTATTATACTTTATATTATTATATTTTATTATACGTTATATTAGGTTGTTATACTTTATATTAGATATAGATTGACAGTATATTTCTGGGCAGAACACAGTACCTAATTGAGCACTGCAGTGTCCCACAAACAGTCATAGATTGAGGGATCATTACCCCCAGAAAGTGATCCACCAATCGACTAACAACCAGGTTCTTACTTGTTGCAAGGTAAACAGAGGCATGTGGAGTAAAGAAACAAGCTTAAGCTCTCACTCTGTCTGGGAAAACATTATTTCCTGTGCTGCCGAAACCTTATTAAAAAGATTTCTTTTTGTGTTCATGAGGGACAAAGCTGGAGAAAGTAGCATTTATCCCACATTTTGCAGCCAACATTGTAACCACTGTGCTGCCCAGTCAGCACTCAGTAACTGATGCTATTGCAAACTATTGGCAATACCCTACTGTATCTTGTACATGCTTTAGGCACAGTCCCCAACAAGGTAATTCAATAAGAATATATGCAGGTCAGCAAGTGCAGGCTCAAGCCAATTCAAGTGGACACGGTATTTATAACCTTCATTGGATTCCACCCAAATCGTCTGAACTAAAATTGAACAAAGGGAGGATAAATGAAAAAGTCTTTGTTAAAGAGCGCTCTAAACCAAACAAATTGAGCTGTAATTCTATCTTTATAAAGGTAAATATCTGTACACTTGTTGATGTCACTGCCTTAAATGCTTTAAAACCAGATGCTCCATTGATGGATGAATGTGTAAATGTACATTGTGGTGTACTACCAAACAATACAGAGTAAGAAAGGTTCCATGTTTAACCCCTAGTCAGTGCTGGGTTAGGGATGTCATGGCTTTGAGTCCTTAGCCAGAGAAAAATTAATATAACAGAATTGCCATCCTTGCTGGAAAGTGCAAGCTATGATAATCCCCACAGTTCAACTACCTGTTGAGACTGCAACCTTGACTGCTCTCCGTAGGGGAGTGAGGGGGGGGAGGGCTGGATAGGTAAGCAGGTCTCCTAGCAGCTGAGCTTGCTAAAGGTGATATGATTGGCAATAAAATGACCTCTGTGGCAGTCTTGGTTGTCTGGTTCAAATCTACAGTATTTCAGAGCATTGATGATGAGAGACCAAACCTGGCTCATTGGAAGGATGTGGAGAGGTTTTTTCACTCTGTTATCAGGAAATTTCCCTGTGTAGGTGCCATACACACGTGGAACTAGTCTGGTTTGGATACTCTTAAACATGGTAATAGGTTTCTTCACGTGTCAGACACCCGGCTGAACCCCCACCCCAAAAAACCTACAATAAAAATGAATGTAGCTGAGACAGGGATCCAAGACAGCTGCAATTGAGGCAATAGTGCACGGCTTGGGCAAGAACATCATTAAACCCAGTGACTCGCAGGGATTAAACTGTAATGAAAGTCCAAGTAAAACTGTGGAGAGTAACATGAGAGGGTGAAAAGGCATAGATACAGCTGAATCCACAAGGCTGGAATCAAGTTAGTTTTCCTGCTTTTTAATTATAACTATGAATTCTTTTGAGGCAGCTGGGATGAAGTTAAAATTACAAATCTTGTAGTAGAGTGCAGCTTGGATTGGCGATCAGCAAATCTGGAACTAACGTGATTATGTTTTTGGCAAAACGCAGAATCAAGTGGAATTGTCTCAGCTGCACTGATGGTTTTGATGTGGATTTGTGAGATCGCATCTTAACACCATACATAAAATAATATGGCTGTGATTATGGTGCAAAACAGAGTGCTGCCCTGCGACACTAAGGTTTAAACTAACAGGATGGTGAACATAGAGCTCAAAGATTTAAGGGGTACTTGGAGAAAATAAAAAAAACCTTAAAAATATATGGAAACCCTCATCCTGAAACATTGCATTTCTCAAAAAGATTCACTTTGCTTCCAACTTTATTTGTGCGTGATTTTTTTCTGGTTGGAGGAAATAGCTACCCTAATATACAATTCCTTCCTTTCTCTGTAAAGCATTCCTCCCCACACTATTCTGACAATGCAGAAACACATTCAAACTTGGACTGTAAGTACAAATTCACCAGTGGCAAAGGTATTTATTGAAACACCAGTTGTGCTGCTTTCTTACCATGGCGAACTGGTTTGTCCCATTTCAAGCAAGCACATAAAAAGGGAATCAGTATTATTTAGCCTGCTGTGTTGCTTACCTAAGGACACATGACTTCCATTGGTAATGCTCTAATATCAACTCTACAGGAAATCGCAGTACGAGAAGACTGTTACAAGTGTTTTCAATTAGCACATGTGCCTAAAGTGGGCTTGAATGTCATTTTAATGGGAAACACAGACTTGAGTCCCCTCTTCCCCTGAAACAACATCTCAGCAATGCAGACTAGCTACTCTGCAGTGCTGAGCATTGAACTGTCTTCACAGTTTGACAGCCCACGTAAAACAGACCGGGATCTCCATTCAGACTTACAACAGTTTAGCTGTGACTTTGACCCCATTTTCATTTATATTGAGCTGCAGGCCAGTGGTTTGTGATCAGCGGTTTGTGTCTCCAGTGTGTCCATGCTGCAGCGTACATCAAACTCACACTCTGGGACATGGAACAGCAGCCCAACCATGACACACAACCTGACATCATTGAGGGCAGCAGTGAGCCCAGCCAAAACAAGCAAATAATAAATCTTTACTTCAGAAGTGAATCAGACCAGAAAAAAAAACTTGAGCAGGATAAATAAAAGATAAAAGGGGAGGAAGGTGGTGGGGTGTGGGGGAAGGGGTACAAATGGATCATTGAAAGTAAAACCTTTTGTAGGACACAAAATTTCACTTAGTCTTCACCAGTTCTGGTGAACTGTTAAATATTAAATCTGAGATTGTATCAGACAGTGGTGACTTGCTTCATATGTTGAGTTAAGATGTCACTGACTAACTTTATTAATTATACTCTTAGCATGTAAAATCATTTTTGGTGTGGAGAAATTCCATCTGGGTCTAAATTTATACTGTTCTTTCAACATTTTACAACATCCAGGATTTGGCAAATGGTTGAATTCAGTCTCAACTTTCAAGGTTTTCTGTAGTTCTTAAAAGATATCTGCCTGGCTTAGTCGATAGCGAATGTTATCTGCTAGAATGTTGTGGGTTTTAGCCCGATAGGACTTTGAGCTCAGTCTAGGCTAACATAGGAACATAGGAATTAGGAGCAGGAGTAGGCCATTCGGCCCCTCGAGTCTGCCCTGCCATTCAATAAGATCATGGCTGACCTTCTAACCTAACTCCATCTGCCCGCTTTATCCCCATATCCCTTAATCCCTCTATCCTTTAGAAATCTATCAATCTCAATCTTGAATATGTTGAAGGACTGAGCATCTACAGTCTTCTGGGTAGAGAATTCCATAAATTCACTACCCTCTGAGTGAATAAGTGTTTCCTCAACTCTGTTCGAAAGGGCTGTTCCTTAACCTTAAGACTGTGACCCCTAGTTCTAGATTCTCCTACCAGGGGAAATAGTCTCGCACTGTTTACTCTGCCAAGCTCCATAAGAATCTGATATGTTTCCATAAGGTCACCCCTAATTCTTCCATATTCTAGAGAATATAGGCCTAGTTTACTAAACCTATCCTCATAGGTCAACCCCATCCCAAGAACTAACCTAGTGAATCTACGCTGCACCCTCTCTAAGGTGAGTATGTCCTTTCTTAAATATGGAGACCAAAACGCACACAATATTCTAGGTAACACTTCAGCACAATGCTGGGGGAGTACTGAGAGGTGCCGATCTTTGGATGATCCCTTAAACTGAGGAATCTGCCTGTTCGGGTGGACATTAAATAACTTATGGCACTATTCGACAACAGAAGGGAATTTCACACGGTAGGGAATAGAAGGGAATTTCACAGTTGTGGCCTCCCTAGTATCCTCTCTCCCCACCTGAGATTACAGTACTTTTCTCTTAGGTATAGGTTTCCTATCCACATGCCTTAAGGTAGCCAGTTAAAAAAAAAATTCCATTTCCTTCTCTTTATTTTATTGTTCTGAATTCCGCTGAACATTCTCTAGAACTCTCTTCATAGCCCTCGGATGTTTGCTCTTCCAAAGGCCTTCACAACTGCAATATTATTTTTGGCCTTAGCTTTTATTGCAATATCATGTCTAACCATACAATGAGACGTCTAGAAGACTTGAAAAGAGTTGCATCAAAATGCAAGGATTATTATTTTATTATTATGAACAATAGGATCCAAGTGTCGCCCACTTTGATGGAGCTGTCAACATCAAAGAAGTGCCGGCCAGCAGTGGCATGTGCAGTGCAATTGACAAGAGTGGCATGGATTGCAATCCCATGATTGAAATGCTGTGTTTATTTCTTGAGATTGGTGTACATCAAAATAAGCCATATTTTGAAACCAAAATAAACATCTGTCACTCCAAATGAGTGATGTTTGGAAGATTTGCTTGCAGAATACCAACCAGTTCTGGTGGACTGTTAAATATTAAATCTGAGATTGTATCAGACAGTGTCTTGCTTCATAAGTTTCGTTAAGGTGTCACTGACTACCTTTAGGAATTATACTCTGAACTCTGTCTTTTGAGGGACCTGATCTGTCCATCTTACCTCTGAGTAAAATGAAAAGATGAAAAAGCAGGCGTTTGTGAGTTCACTGAATCTAGTTTAATTTTACCAGAATATCAGAACTTGCCTTTAATCTCAACACACGTGTTTTGGGAACCGAGATTCGAGGATAATAACTGAACTCTATGATGAGAATTCAATAGTCTGGGTGTTCTGGAAGAATGAGATCAAATGGGCTGAAGGGCTTTCTTCATCCAAACCAATCTTGACTTTAATTGTGTAATAATGAAATGCAATCTTTGTCTGACGAAGGGTCAAGCCGAGAAAAAATAAGGTGCCATTGGAAATGAACTGACAAATTTGAATCATATGGAAACTCAAGTATTGAGACCATTTTTGGCAGAGAAACTATGTCATGTATAAGTGTTAATACAGTTGTACTGTGCTGAGCGCTGGATGGGAGGTAACTGAAATCAAGTCAGGATCATAATTTGGACCACACAGTGAGGAAAACTCATCTCCTCTGCTGAACAAGATGAAAAAATCACACACGAAATGGTTTAAAGATTCCTAAAACCATAGAAAGTTTAGAGAAGGAGGTAATTTGGTCCATTGTGAACATCCTGGTCCAAGCTCTCTTTCTGGCACTATCTCTATTAATTCCAATTATCTTATTTATTCCTTATATTTTAAGTTTTTAATTTGTATTTTGTAAAAATGTTTCCATTGATTCTTCAAGAGCAGTATATCTTTGATTGCATTACAGCTACCAGTTAATACAACTCACGCAGTACACTGTCTGGAGCTCTCTACATTTCAGCAGCTACCGATTCCATCCTCCTCTGACAAATTATAGCACCAACTGCATTTCCCCCGTACAGGTATTTACTTACCATTGCTGTCAGCAGGTTCTTCATACTCCTCAGAGAGGAGGTGGTAGCAGCAGCCCACACTGCACACAGCTTTGAGCTCTGGTTTGGCAATGAAAATGCGCAGGGTGTTTGAGGCCAGATCACCACACGTGTGCAGGCCAACCATCATTGAATCCTGTAAACAAACAGAGCAGAATTCTTGTTATGTTGCATCTAAAAGCGATTGGCAGATCAACGTTGATCTGGAAATGACATGGAATGATGCAGCACGGAAACAGGTCATTCGACCCCTGATTGTCTCTATACTCCACATAAGTTTCAACTCTCTCAATCCCCTTTCCCTTACACCAACCCACCACCCCCGCCCCACCATTCTTTTCCCATACCCTTCTATTCCACATAAGCAGAACATGGTCTGGGCACCCCACAAAAAATACAGTCAATTTGCTTTACAGTATAATGTGCGAAGCGCTTTGAGACGTCTCAAAGACGTGATAAACCGCTATACCAAATGCAAGGATTACTACAGGGCAGCCTCCTGAAGGTGGCATCTCAAGCGCCAGAGAAACAGCATAGATCTAAATTTAAGATCACCTTCTGCTGCTGATGTTGGTAGTTTGTGGAGTAATTACTCTTAAGACCCATAATAAATTGTAATGTAAGAGAATGAGATTGGTACATTTGATCTCTATGTTTGGGTCAGTCCCAACATTCATCCAGATCAACGTTGATCTGCCAATCGCTTTTAGATGCTGATCACCATGCTCTGTACGTATGAAATCTTACGTTAGGACTTTGTGGTGTCAACAACTCTTCTACAGCAATGGGCTTCAGCTGTAGGAGTTTCTTTGAAAATATTTTCTAAAAACCGACAGCAATTCGGGAATCAAAGTGACAGGACACATTTTTTTCAAAAGTTTTCATTCCCTTCAATGAATATGTATTATGTATTTGTTTGTCATTAAAAAAAATGTAATTTGTTTCAAGACGAGGGAATCATCAAAAAATATTATATTGGACGGAAATTGGAGACCAACCTGCAATGTTGTCGGCAGAGGTGACAAAGAGCTGGTAGGATTCTGCCATCTCGTGGCACTTACCAAGCATTACATCAAATGCTATGAAACTGTAACAATGGGGCTTATTTTGCTCATTATGTTAAGGATAGTGAATTTGTTTATGTTCAGTATGTTAAACTTAGTGAATTTGTTAATGTTCAATTATGATGGGAAAATCCTATCAGCCGATCTCCACCATTCAGTCTGCTTAGTGAGTGGAACAGAGTGGAACTGTTGTTATTCTACCTGTGGGAAATGTCCAATGTTCAGTGCTTAGTTCCTTCTAAATGTCTTAAAACAGATGGTGATATTGGGTGCAAAAAGCATTCCCCATTCCTCAGATTGAGCAGCACCACAGAAATGACACAGTCAGGTAGAAAGGGAACTCTGTCTTCACACCATGCCATATCCCAACTCCAAAGAGTCCACCCAATTTCAGCAGAGTGAAGTCCTCCATTTCCTTCAATAGCTTCTCTAAGATTGCCAAATTGTGGTAGTTATAGACCATGGGCTCACACCAACGAGTATCTGTGTTAGAACTTATCCTTCGGATGAGATGTTACACCAAGGTGCTGTCTGCCTGTTCAGGTGGATTTTAAAGATCCCATGGCACTATTCGAAAAGAGAAAGAAGATTTTTCCGGGGTCCTGCCCTACAATCCCCCAAATAAAATTATTTATTCACTTCATAGTGGTTTGTGGGACATTGCTGTTCATAAATTTGTTACATGTTCATGTACAAATTACACTTTACAGTAAATCCTGTGAACTGCTTTGAGACGTCCTCCCCACTATACCAAGTGCAAGGAATATTATTATTTATTATGAAATAGGAGCCATATGCTTGACCGTGATAGGAAACTTCTGTGCCATCGAGGATAGATTTGTATGAGGCCCTAAAGTAAAGTTGGGCATGCTAAAAAGTTGGGCAATCCAGTCACCGACAACACTATGTTCAATTGATATTGAATTAACATACATCAACACTTGATACTTTAAATAATATCTGACCTCTATGTCTGTGATGATGTCGCTGAGATCCGTTGTTGCGGTAACGTGCTGAGTTAGTGGGGAATACAGGTTCGTCTGTTTCACTCGCTTCGCTTTTGCCGCTAAGTTTGCATTTTTTCTTTTCTCTTTCTCTTCCTCGCACAGATCTTTTTTTTGTCTCGGCGGTGAACCAATTTGCATGGTGCTCATTGGCAGAAGGTCCAAAAAGGCATTCGCATCTTCACTATGTTCATTTTCGATTGCCCCTGTCATCTCTGAGCGCCCATCAAATTCTCCCTTTTCAGACTCTGTGAAGACGCACAGTCGAGGGATCTGCGTGGGTGAACCCAAAGGCTCCATTTCAGGAGGGTTATCTCCCTCATCACCATGGCCAGTGCACTCAACCTTTTCCTTGCAGCTTCCTTCAGTGTTCATTTCCTTTCCTCTCAGATTTTCTGCTCCAGCGCTTTGGCCCAGAGGATTGATCTGACACTGATACACCTTCCAGTATCTTTTTAATTTCCTGTTTCTCTCGTTCGCTCCATTGGTGTTGATGCTGGAAGCATCAATGCCGTACACATTCAGGCCATACTGCATAGACAAGTAGGAGCTCAGATATCCCTTTCCTGATCCTAGATCAATAACCTGGGAGAAATCAAAGCAAACAGATTGAACTAAATGTCATCAGTAGCAACTTCATTATAAAATGTAAGGAACATCAATGTCATTCTTACGTGCATTGACATATATAATAATGCTTACATTTGATTTAGCGCGTTTGATGTCAGGTGGATGTCTCAAAGTGCTTCGTGGAATTTATTGTACAGTGTAGTTAGTGGCTGTGTATCTTGAGGCTGAATGTAGCTTTCAACAGCATCGCAAAGACTTCTATCCGAATAACATCTCCAGCCTCTCTTTCTGAAGCCCGTTACTGTAATGTTCTGTTCATATAGCATATTGGACCTTCAGACATATGACAGTCAGGAACGGATGTTACATAGATGGAGTAAATCTAGATCGAGGTGGAATTAACTCCGTAAGTTTGTTTTCTGACTAGATGTCTTTAAAAATAATTATTGCTATTTTTGGAGCTGAGGAATTAGGATATATGAGAACATTGGAACTGGACTGAGTGGCATGTATGTGCTTCCTTGCTTCCTGTAAAATAAACAATTTTATGTCTATTACAGCTGCAGTTTGTTGGTTTGTGTATGTAGCCCTATTTCATTAATGCAACAAGCCTTAGAATGAGGATCGTTTTCAACACATGAATGCGTCTAAAATGTGTTTTCAAATCCAATGTAAACTCATCTACTGTTATTCTACAGTGGGAACAGAATGCACACTGGTGAGCTAAGCTTATTCCTTGCTTGACAATATGTGAAACAGATTTAATATTCTGCTGTTCCCTATCGTGTATCCTCTATATGCCGAGCATTAAACATTAGACTGTTTAAACCATTTCAACTGGATGTATAAATCATTCTCAGTCTCATACAAACTTAAGATGTAAGCACAGCACACCATATGTGTCTCTATCATTGTTGAGAGAGTCCTGATAAATGTTCAAAAACTGCCAAGTCAGGACATTTCCACACTACTGGGTGGGAAGCAGATGAGAAGACAAGAGATTGAAATCAAACCCACCAACAAAAGAAACATTTAGAATGATGAACACTGGCTCTCTTTGTGGTCTCAGAGTGTGACTGCTTATGGTAACTATATCCCACACGACAGAACAGCTCAGCATGTAAGGCTTGTAGCCTCGTAGATGCAAACACATGAATACACATACACACTCTCACACTCCTTCATACAAACATAGGTTATAAAACAGTATAAGAAGACAGTTTTAATAACTGTACAAGTACGTGATTTTTTCCCTTTTGATGCTTGGAGTTCTTGAGAGAAAGCACAACGCAGGTAATGATCCAGCAATCACGCACGCAGCCAAAAAACAACAGATGGAAAATGAAGGCAGTTAAACTGAAGTTCAACTCCAGTAAGATTTGAACTAAAGCAGTATCGAGTTTTATTTCACTGCAATGTACGGGACAGTAATTCAATCAAGCAATTCTAATTGCATCGTAAACCGCAAGGGTGAAGCTTGAGCAGTTTCTGAATCTCATTGGAGCCGGCAAGATCAAATTACCGCCTTAAAATTGTCTGTTAATCTTCATTAAACAAAATCCAAAGTTTTTGAAAAAACTCTTTTTTCACTATTTTTCAGAAAGTGCATATGTCATGGCTGAAAAGGTATGACAGGTTAATGGAGTAAGGAAGAGACTTTCCGGATAAAATCTGATGCTATACTGGACTATGTAACAATATAAAGTATTACAAATATATTTGTATGGAGGGGATATCGCAGTTGTTTAATAGGAATTGGAAGAATTGAGTATATATAATGCAGAAATTATTAAATGGGTCTGTGAAACATTAGTTTCATTCTCATGGATGAAGCTGTCACTAATAAGTGACACCATGATGAAAAATGCTCCTCGCCCTCCACTCCACCACCAAAAACGCCTGCAATGAAACTTACTCCTTGCACTTGTTCCTTGGCAGCAACTGGTTGGATTTTGTTCATAATGTAATTGGCTGCAACTCAGCCCCAATAAAAATGTCTTTGACTATGAATTTGTCAGATATGAAGTAGAAAATATTAAATGCGGTTTGTGGCAGACAAGCGGATCAACAGGAGACATAATCCCGAGCCCTGCTGCAGGTGCTCTGAACCGGTCTTGTGCTGTGCTACGAGAGCTGCCGTAAAGCAAGGAATGAGATTGAGCTTGAAAGTCACCCCATAATCCCCAACTCCTATCACAGCATTGATCTTGCCTTATTATTTTTCTGGGTTATTAACTCACATCTATCCTTTTTCTAATAAATGAGGAATAACTGTGACTGCCTGGCTCAGTTGGTAGCCATCTCACCTGTCGATTCAAGCTCCACTTTATAAACACTCCAATGTAATGTTGTGGGAGCATTGCATTGTCAGAGTTGCCTTCCTTCGAATGAGACATTGAACTAAATTCTTGTTGTCGTGAACGTTAAAGATCTCATGATATTACTCATCAACAAAGGGGAGTTCCTTCCTGTGTTCTGGCCAACATTCCTTCAGATAAAATTGGTCATTCACTTCATGGCTGATGGAGGGACGTTGCTGTGGGCAAATTGGCTGCATTCGCCTCAAAATACATTCATTACAGTTTACAGAAACATTGTGAAATGTTTTGAGAAGTTCTCAATGTTATAAATACTGTATCAAATGCAAGAATTATTATTGTTAAGGTTGTGGGTTACAGACACAATATTACATTGAAAATTGATAAAAATATTGGCTAAAGCAGAAGTTATCCCCATTAATATTGTGATAAATGTTACAGTAAAGTCCAACATTGCTAGATAAGCCAAAGATCTATACAATGTTCTGTGTTTCAGGAACTCACAATCCTGAAGGAGTAGGAGTCCATATTGCCAATCTCAGTAAAGCTTTCTATTCATTGTAAAGGTGTTTTGGTGCTTAACAATGGCACAGATGGAGGATTTTCACCAACCACTGTGACTCTATAATTTATTAACTTTGACCTTTAGTGTGATACAGAGAAGTCCGTAGATTGACTTAAGTGCTATATACACCTCAAGAGCAGCAAGTTTGTTCTGCAACTGTAGCACTCTTTATTGCAGTATCAGGGCACATATAACATAATACTTCTTTCCATTCTTTGCAAAGTTTTGATCCCACACAAACTGGATTCCAGGTCCAACAAACTCTGTTTCTCTGGGTATGTGTGTGTTCTTTTTAAAAAAATTTCATTCAGTCACTTAGAATCATAGAGTTATACAGCACAGAAGGAGGCCATTGGGCCCATCACGTCTGTGCCGGTTCTTTGAAAAGAGCTACCGAAATTAATCCCACTCCCCAGCGCGCTCCCCATGGCCCTGCAAACTTGTACTCGTCAACTATTCTACCAAATAATTAACTACTTCTCTTAAAAATTGTTATCAAATCAACTTCCACAGCCCTTTCAGGCAATGCACTTGTTTGCATTGCGTTGAATGGCCGTGCTCAATGTCCCAAAATGACTGCCAACCCAAAGTCAATGCAAGCACCTGCAAACACCCAATTGTTTCCATCCAACACAGATGGCCCATATTTTTATTTGCTCCTGAAGTGAACTATTGCCATACAGGGGGAATGCAATTCCAGGGGAATCGTTTGCTCTTGAATTTCACAGGCTATGTTCAATGGAAATAACCAGGTCAATGGGAAATTGCATGCTTTGCTTTTTTTCCCCCCTTCTCTGCCCCCATTGTTTTTACAGGTTTGAACACATGTTGTTCATTTGAATTGATGATAAAACATGCATAAAACACATAAAAATATAGGACAGAGATCACCAACAGCAAAAAGAAACTGAAATATTTTAGATTGTGAAGATCAACCTTTCAACAGTGCAAAATTACACTGGGTTGAAAGAAAGAGAGAGTTTGGCTTGTATCAAAGAAATTACTAACATCAAAAAGATTAGATCTTATGATCCACATTATAAAACCATGGAGACTTATGTCATTGTTTCCATTCGTCAACACTGCAAGTCCTTTTGTATTACAATTATTATCTTTATTGCATAGAACAGTTGGATATACATTACCAGATTTATTTGGAAGATTGTCTGGGTACTAATTTGAAAAATCATGTTCTGGATATCATTCCTGTGGATCAAGTTACTTCCTGGGCATATGTTCAAGAGTATCTCAAGGAACACAGTACTGTATATTGTGTGGTGCTGATTTTGTACAGAGCTAGGCCACTAGCTCACTCACTCACACATACAGTAGGACTTCTGACACCATGTGAATGCTGCTCTGTGTATCTCTGATTCTTGCCTGCTCTGCCAATGTGTGTTTTATAATGAGAAACTCCATTAACTGTGCATAGTGTCAGATAGTATTGAATGAATCTCTCCACCAAGCATCTTACAACGATTCAAGTCTTTCCAGATCTTAAAATACCCCTTTGAACAAATCAGAAACACAGACGCAGAATGAAAGATGGATAATCAAAAAGTAAGTTTTTTTTTTAACTCATGCAAATAATCTTCCAACACTTGAGGCACAAAAATGTCATTAATCAGCACTACACCCAACCTGAGAAAATAATTCTCCCAAGGAACTTAAGAAAGCAAGCAACAGGAAAATGCCTTTCAGCCCATCACCGGCACATTCTCCTCAGACCACTCGAGAGATGATCATTGACTTCACCTCAAATGTTATATCTCCTGGGGAAAGCTTTGCTTAGCGACTGCTTCAATCAAAAAGTCATTCAAAGAAAAGCTCCAGAATTTTTTCTTTTTTCCCATATTTCCACTGTTCAAACTCAACCTTCTTTCCGCCACATGCATTCTCTGCTCCCTATCACCTGCCTCAACTATAGGACAACGCACGTTGTACTGTTTATTGTGTGGTCCAGCCATAGTGTTTGCTTACAAAATACATAATCACTACACTTTACAGTATCTCTTGTGAAGTACTTTGAGACATTATTCTGATGTGAAAGGCGCTTTATTGGTTTATTATTATTAAGTGCAGTACAATTCAGCATCCAGTGGTGACTGGTGGGTGTCCTGCAAATGCATAAGGTCTCCTGGTGTCCAGCGTTGTCTCAGCTAACAGGAGTGGTTGCCAGTTTCCTGGACACATAAACAGTGCACAGGATATAGCATCAGCATCAATATCAGGTCATTTTTAGACAGTACCCTATTATAATGCAAGCTTTCAGATTATGAATCCAAACCATTGGGTTACAAAGCATCAAATACGTATAAGTGTATGTGACTCGGTAGCTCAGAAGGGCATCCCTCAAGATTTTCTGACTGAGACATCAAAATAGTGACATGCTATGGCCAGACTGCTGAAACTCCTTTCAAAATCAGGCAAAGACACGGACGGTCCTGTACTTTGATTATCTTGAGTAAATGATGCTGCTAGATCTGGGTTTTAGGTAGTAATTCAGGATGAGTTGATAATTATTAACAAATTTACAATTTTAAGCTAATGCATATTAGCAGACTAGTCAAATGTAGTTTACTTTTGTGAACTAGCTGCACTGTAGTCCACAAACTTGACTCATTTTAGTTTTGAGCTTGAATGTGGGTTGCACCCGAAACATCGATTTGAATTTCTCTTTCATTGGCGGATTGGCCTGCTGTGGATCTCCAGCATTTCTGTTTCGTTTTAGAGGTACTTAGGCTCAATATATATATGTCTCTGAGTCTAGTGTATGGCTATCATCACAAATCTCCAACATTTTTATACCTGTTTTACTGCTTGCACCAGAATATCATAAACCTGCATAAGCTGATACACAAAGGAAATGCAACTGTTAGATCATGTTTCTTGCTGTTTCAACTTAGTCATATTTTCTAAAAGGTCCCTGAGCTCCATTATAATGGCCCCTTTACTTCCTGAGTTAACACATTTTTTCAGAACTCCACAGTAATGTGTGATTTGACAAACCCAAGAACTGCTCCATACACACAGCATTGAGGGGTAGCATTGCAGGAGAATCTGCATCTTCCAGATAAGTTAGTCATTCACTTTAAGTCTGTATTTCGGACTAAGCTAATTCACAAATTGGGCCACATGTATGGACAAAAGGTCCACGGTCCTAACAGCTGTATTAGGTTTCACTACTCCCCAGTTCACTTTGCATTCATAATTTCTTGCTCCCCCACTTCCACACACCATTGCTCAGAGTGAAGGTCATCTGCTCACAGATCACCAGCCCTTTTGGTTTCTGAATCAACTACAAGATGCACAAGAGAGGCCTGCTGGGGAAATGTTAAAACTCTATTCATACTCTTCCCTTTTTTATGGCATTTATGAGCAGATCCATGAAACTCCTCACACAGAAAATTGAGAATATAATAATAATAATCCTTGCATTTGATAAAGCGCTTTTCACGTCTTCTAGACGTCTCAAAGGGCTTCACAGAATTGACTGCATATTTGTGGGCGAAATGTGGCAGCCAGTTGTGCACAGCAGTGACCCACAAACAGTCGTGGATTGAAATAATCAATTTTTTTTGAGGGATTATCATCAGGTGTTTGGATTAAGGAAACTTGTCCAAGGTTTCACCCTGCCGGGAATCAAACCCAGGTCTATCGCTTGCAAAGCGAGTGCTCTAACCACTGAGCTTCAGGACTCCACAAGTTTAAGGTCAATTGAAATTTGTGCCTCAGTTGATGGATTAGTTTAGGGCGAATGGTTCTGTGGCATTGAATGATCAGATGTAAATACCAAACTTCCTCTTTGGTGATCAATTCAGCGATGCTGGGTACTAAACTTTATGGTCAAGTCACAGATCGTCATTGAGATGCTAACAAAGTAATTTCCACAGCAACTGAAGATGGCTAGCTGAGAGATTTCCAGATTTCCACTACCCTTTTTCACACAAAGCGGAAATCTGGAACTCTCTCTCCCAAAAGGCTGTGGATGCTGGATCAACTAAAATTTTCAAGACTTGAGGTTGATAGATTTTTGTTAGGTAAGAGTATCAAGGGATATGGAGCGAAGGCGGGTAAACTGAGTTGACGTACAGATCAGCCATTATCTAGTAGAATGATGGAATGGGCTGAATGGCCTACTCCTGTTCCTATGTTCCTAGAGTATCACCACTTTCATTCTATTTTGTGCTTTAGATTATTTGGAAATAATATGAATCCTAGGAGTTTTCATACTGTCGTTACACACTGAAGAATTCAACCACCCATGTGGATGTAAGAAACTAATGCAGGACAGTAGCAAAAGTAGGAGAAAAATATTAAATGTATGGTACGTTTTAAAAAATAAACATTTTTTGTTTGTGTTTGCAAATCTTCTATTTGAACCCTTGCTTTCATTCAGCTGGTAAAGCCTATAAAATACAATCATTACACTTCACATTGAATCCTGTGAAGCACCAGGAGACATTTTCCCAATGTGAAATGTTGCCTCAGTTATGAGTACATTATTAAATATTCCATATAAACCACCCAACCAACCTCCTCCCTGCTTCATACTTCCATGCAATTGTCATCCCAATAATAATAATCCTTGCATGAGATATAGCATCTTATCATGTCTTTGAGACGCCTCAAAGCGCTTCACAAAATATACTGTAAAGTGAATTGACTGTACATTTTGTGGGCGAAAAGCGGCAGCCAATTGCGCACAGCAGCGTCCCACAAACAGTCGTGGATTGAGTGACCAATTTATTATTATTATAATATTTTGGAAGGAATTAATACCCCCAGTCCGCCAATTGACTGACAACCGGGTTCCTACTTATTGCTAAGTAAACAGAGGCATACGGAGTAAGGAAACTTGCCCAAGGTTTCGCACTGCCGGGAATCGAACCCAGGTCTCTCACTTGCGAGGTCAGTGCTCTAACCACTGAGCTACAGGGTAATGGACGGCTTGTATGGTTGTTGTTTGCTCTCTCACCTGTTGGACATTACAATGTTTGGCCAGGCAGGCAACAACTTCGGACATCACCTGAACCTCATGGGACTTCTTTGTGTTCATAAACTGGCTGGTTTTCAGAAATGTACCTGAGAAGAAAGACCAACATCACAATAGTTTGAGATTTTGCTTATTCAGACACATATTGAAAAGATGATGGCCTGTTTAGCTCTGTAGGACATGGCACAATGTGAAGCTACCCGCAGAACGCTAGTTTCAAGACAGTGCCAATACTAAAGTGCACCTTCCTGAGCAAGTGTGGATGTAAGAAACTAATGCAGGGCAGTGGCAAAAGTAGGAGAAAAATACTAAATGTATGGTACTTTTTAAAAAATAAACATTTTTTGTTTGTGTTTGCAAATCTTCTTTGAACCCTTGCTTTCATTCAGTTGGTAAAGCCTATAAAATACAATCATTACACTTTACAATGAGTCCTGTGAAGCACCAGGAGACATTTTCCCAATGCGAAATGTTGATTCAGTTTTGAGTATGCATTATTAAATATACCACTTTTCTCCATTTGCAAGTCTAATGAAGAAAAATTAACTCTAACAGGATTGAATAGTTATGATTCCCGGCATTACGCGCTGAAGTTGAATATTCTGCAATGTCTGGTTTGATACAGACAGACAATAATGTTATTTCTGACATCTCCACACCTCTCTGCTTATTTCCCCAAAGCTCTTGAAGCAGTTCATCCAATGTCGTACACACTCCAAGGTATGGCAGGGAATGAGCTTGGGTCTCTCGGATATAGGCAGTCACATCTGCAAGCTTCTGACAGTCATCCCATACTGAGGCACTTGCTATTTCTGCAACAAGGTACAGAGAAAAACATTTGATCAATAACGTCACAATTATAAGAAAGTGCAGTGTGCAAATTGGCGTGAAGTGAATGGCCTTTTTTAAAATCTAGTAGCATTGTTGGACAACAAGAGAAATTCCCTTCTCTTTTCGAATAGTACCATGGGATCTTTAATGCTCACCTCGACAGGCAAAAAGGACTTTGGCTTAATGTCACTGGCTAAGAGCAGAACCTCCAATAGAGCAGTTCAAAGTCACAGTGTTGATTTTGAACTCCTAATTTGCCAAAAAACAATTAAGCCAGACTGACACATTTCCCCAATACGCTTCTGGATCTGAATCCAGCTGGCAGGTTTGAAGCAGCAAATGTTTGAACTCCAATGTCAGTAATGAATGCGTGTTCATAACTGGATGTTATACTTTTTTGTTTGTCGCACGTCATTACCTGAATTAATAATAACAATATTCCTCGCATTTGATGTAGCACATTATCACGTCTTCGAGACGTCTCAAAGAGCTTCACAGAATGTACGGTAAAGTGAATTGACCTGTATTATTTTGTGAGCCAGGAGTGAAGTTATCATGTCACCAACTCCGCAATGATCAGTCACCTGACGGACCCCAAGTCTTACCTGCTTTGCTTCCTACATCCTGACAGCGGTAACGAGCGAGGACCGCCTCGGGGGACAAAGCCACGTACTCGTTCCAAATGTCTTCAGTATAAAAATCAATCGTGTGCACGTTGGCAATTTTCAGGTAAATGGCCAGAAACTCTTGGAGGCGTTTTATTTTGCTCCGCACCAAATCTAAACTGATGTCATTTGAAAACAGCATGATGCTGCGGGTGCAAACTCGGGGGTGGGGGGGTTGGTGGGTTCCAGGGGCTGTGTAAGGAAATCAACTACAAGGCAATGATTTGCGGGGTTTATAGAAAGAGCCGAGTGTCAGGGATTTAATGGAGAGGCATGATCCCGAGGGGAAGAAACTCTCTCTCTCTCTCTCTCTATATATATATATATATCACGTCCTCCTGATGTGAAAGGCGCTTTACAAATGTAATGTTGTTGTTGTGTATGTATCGACACACTCCTACACTGACTGATAGAGAAGTGGATATAAAACCAGAGCAACAACTCTTGTGGCAGAAATACGCCAACTTTCGTGTGAATTTACAGTGTAGATCAGCCCAGCTGTGTGTGTGTGTGGGTGGGGGTGTGTATGTGTGGGGGGAGGAAGGGAGGTGGGTGTGTGTGTGGGTGTGTATGGGGGGGGTTGTGGGTGTGTGTGTGTGTGGGGGGGGGGTTGTGTGGGTGTGTATGGGGGGGTTGTGGGTGTGGGTGTGTATGGGGGGGTTGTGGGTGTATGTGGGGGAGTTGTGGGTGTGTGGGGTGGGGATGGGGGGGTTGTAGGGGTGTGTGTGGGGGGGTTGTGGGTGTGTGTGTGTGGGGGGGGGTGTGGGGATGGGGGGTTGTGGGTGTGTGTATGTGTGGGGGTGTGTGGGGGGGGGGTGTCGGGGTTTGTGGGGGGGTGTGTGTAGGGGGGGTGTGTGGGGTGGGGATGGGGGGTTGTGGGGGGTGTATGTGTGGGTGTGTGTGGGGGGGGGGTTGTGTGGGGTGTGTAGGGGGGGTGTGGGGTGGGGATGGGGGGGGAATGGTTTGCAAGTCGACAAAACGCGTGAGGCGGTGGCAGGTCTGGACTCTTGCGGCTGCCGTAGGGTCGGGCGCGGTGTGTGTGTGTGTGAGTGAGTGACAGAGAGAGTCGCAGTCGGAGCGCGTCAGTGAGAAGGAGGGAGAGGGAGAGGGGGAGAGGGATGTCGGGTCGCGGCGGGGAGGGGGTTCGCGGGGCCTTGAGGAGCTCAGCCCGCGGGGCTCGCACTCTGGGCCGAGGCCGGGGCCTGGGTTTGGGTCGGGGCCGGGGACAGGGCCGGGCCCGCGGGGCTGAGAGGTACAAGAAGCGGTTGGGCAGCCTGAGGGAAGGTGAGGAGCAGCAGCAGCGCAACTGGTCGCACAATGTGCGTGTTTCCGCTCAGTCAGTCAGTCGGTCGGTCGGGGGGGAGGGCGGTGGGGCGGGAGGGCGGAGGCCATTCCCTGCACTCACATGTTTGCTGTATCTCAGCTTTACATCACTGGGTCTCAATGTTATTCCCTCTCTTTTGACTTGAACACATCACTCCCACCCTCACTCCCCTCCACTGGCTCCCCATCCCCCAGAGCATCGAATTCAAGATCCTCATCCTCACCTACAAGGCCATTCACGGCCTCGCTCCCTCCTACCTCTCCGACCTACTATCCCCCTACCTACCTGCCCGTACCCTCCGTTCCTCCGGCTCCGGTCTGCTCCACATCCCCCGCCCCAACCGCCCTACCATCGGTGGTCGGGCCTTCAGCCTCTCAGCCCCGAGGCTCTGGAACTCTATCCCCCAGTGCCTTCGCCGCCTCCTCCCTTTCCTCCTTCAAGGCCGGTCTCAAAACCTTTCTCTTTGACCGTGCCTTCAGCTCCCCTCTCGACTCTCTACCCCCTCCTCGCTCCCTCCCTTCCCTCCCCTCACCCTTTCCATTTCCCCCCCAAGGCTCGGGTCCTGACACAACTGTACAGCGCCTTGGGACGTCCTCCCAACGTGAAAGGCGCTCAATAAATGGAATCTTCTTCTTGTTGTTGAACGTAGTTTTTGCTTTTTTTCCCACTGATTAACTCTTCCCCCCCCCCCCCCAAGTCTGTGTGTTTGATCCAGTGCCTGATCTCTCTCTCTCTCTCTCTCTCAGTCTCAGTACTTTGGGGGGGGGGTAACTGCGAAATTAGACCCGGGTACAGCTATGGCACTCCAGCCCTTCTCTGCCAAAAGGCCTCCTCTCCCGTTGCTTGTCCCGAGCAATGGGTACACAAGCATTTGATCAGTTAGGCAGCAGTTGGCTTCATTCTGTCTGTAGACGCTTGAAAGAGCTGCCCAGTTGAGCCCCAATTTTTTTCCCCCCAATGCTTTCTCCACCTTCTCGAGGCATTTACAGAGTTGTTCTGACTGTCATGTTAGACAACGTGGCAGCTCGTCTGCACCAACAACGTCCCACCAATACTTATGAGGTGAATGTCTGGGGCAGCTGCCCTGCTCTTTTGAATAATGCTGTCGACTTATTAAATGCCCACAGATTGGGTCTTTGGTTAAGTGTCTCATTTTGAGGACCAGCGGTAAGCTTGGCTTTTTTATTTAAATAAGTAACTTCTGTAGAAACGGCAATGGGAACATATCCCTTACGCGCTGGCTCCAAGGTGGCAAATGATTGGCAAAGGAACGTCGGTGTTGAGTCAATGCTCAACGATGGTCTCGGTAGTCTGGTTCCTGAGCCAGATGGCTCTACAGTCCTCTAAGCCAGGGATGGCCAACTTGCGGCTCGCATCACGCGTACGTAGAATAGTCACGCAAATGGCAAGTTGGCCACCCTTGTTCGAAGGCACTGCCTGATGACCGACGGCCTGGTTCATCAACGGCACTTTCAGGTGCTGACAGTCCCTGGCAGCCGGGATTGTTCCCACTCAGCTCCTGTTATCCCTGAAACCCAAACCCCTAAAAGGTGAGGGTGATCCTCGCTGGATAAACAGCAGGAAGGTTGCCTAACAGGTCTTTCAATGATAAGATATGTGGTTTCACCAATTAAACTCTAGCAGCACCCTGCCATACATTCTGGGTCCTCAAGCCTTAATTCTTGTCAACTTGTGCCTAATGCAGTCTTGAATTAGGTAAACAGGGTGTATCCTCCAAGGTGAGAGATCGCATTCTATAATAATAATAATAATAATCCTTGCATTTGATATAGCGCTTTTCACATCGGGAGGACGTCCCAAAGCGCTTCACAGAACACACTGTAAAGTGAATTGACTGTATATTTGTGGGCGAACGCGGCAGCCAATTGCGCACAGCAGTGTCCCACAAACAGTCGTAGATTGAAAATGACCAATTTATTTTTGTTTTTGGAGGGATTATTATTAGGCTTTGTGTGGAGTAAGGAAACTTGCCCAAGGTTTCGCCCTCTGCCTGGAATTGAACTCAGGTCTCTCGTTTACAAAGCGAGTGCTCTAAACACTGAGCTACAGGACTCCTATATATTCTATTCCAGACCTGCAGAAATTTACATTCAGATGTAGAACTTTCAGTTTGGTTTGGATACTCCATTATGGTGATGTGTTTCCACATGTGTCTGACACCTGGCTGACCAAAAATATTTTCTAAAAAAAGGTGGCTGGCAGGGGTTTGTGAGTTGGAGTTTGTTTTCAAACATTGTACTTATAAAATAAGTGAGAGCGATTATTATTCATGATAATTTGAGTAATGAAATATTTTTGTATGGTGTTCAGAGTATTTTTAAGGTGTTGATTTTTTTTTCCCTCACACACATGCAGGGCAGGGCTTTGCTTTCCAGAGGAAGCAGAAGATTAAACATGATTACAATAAGTTACTCAGAAAAGAGAGGAAAGCACACCCTCCTCGAGAAGTGGATTACACCGAGAGTTACCCCGACCATTTGCGACATCTCTATCTAGCAGAAGAAAAAATGCTTCGGAAACAATCAAAGAAATTAGAAGATGAAAAGAAAACTGCATCAGAAAGCCAACCTGATATCCAAGAAGAAACGATAAGAAAGTGAGAAAAATTAAGTATTTCATTAAAATTGAGAGTAAACAGGATTTTGTTCCCAATTCATTTTACGTTTTATGGACATTATTTATTTGGTTAAGCTTTCATTGTACTGTTTACCCTGTCCATCCATACCTATTCTGAAGCATTCCGGGACGCTATCCCGGGTGAAGGGTGCTATATCAATGCAAGATGTTGTATTATCTTCCATCTGCATAAATAACCAGAACAGCATGTAAGAATTTCAACTCGTAACATCTCCTTCTGGTGACTGATGAGGTAGTCATTGAATGAGGTGACATGAGCATCCACATCCATTATCTTTACCTCCAATGGATGATCCTGTAGATGATAGGGAGAACTGTTCCTCTGGACAAAGCCCAAGAGTGAATGTTAACCCAGTGGAGCCGGATTTCCTATTTCCCCAGTCAGAAATGCAGTGCTTTATAAAATACTATAAAATTTTAAATATAAAATAATAATAATCCTTGCATTTGATATAACGCTTTTCATGTCTTCTAGATGTCTCAAAGTGCTTCACAGAATATACTGTAAAGTGAATTGACTATATTTTGTGGGCAAAACGTAGCAATCATGCATTGAGTGACCAAATTATTGTTTTTTTTCTTGAGGGATTATTAGCAGGCATATGGAGGAAAGAAACTTGCCCAAGGTTTTGCTCTGCCAGGAATCAAACCCAGGTTTCTCGCTTGCGAGGCGAGTGCTCTAACCACTGAGCTACAGGCTTTGCCATTATAATAATCAATGCATGACATTGAGTAACCAGTTAGCTATATCTTCGCCATCAGTGAAAGACTACCATATTTGTCTTTGACTTTTGATGTCTACCTGCCACAGCTGCTTAACAAATGCAGAGAATGGTGGATTTTACCTTCCACATTGCTATGCTGTAATGTTATTTCATTTTCTCACATCAGGAAAAAGAACAAAATGTCATCGTATCAAAAAATCAATGAGGAATACAACCGACTTCAGGCAGAACGTGCAAAGTTGAAAGCCGTAAGTACAGTACTCTACAGTATAGTCATTACAAAGTGATCAAATTGAAATTTGTACAGATTTTGGTTTTAGTTATTTTTAAATTTCTGATCTGTATATTGGATGGGATATGGGTATCAAACTTACACAGTAGCTGGATTTATTTGAATAATTTTTAAATTATGAGAAATTGATGATCTGAATTGTTAAAGTCTTGTCTGCCTAATGAGCTTGCCACTTAAGATCCCATGACACTCTTTGAAAAGGGAAGAGAGTTTCCTGCGTTGTTGTGTGCCAACGATCCTTAAGATTAATTGCTTGTTTACTTGTGAGTATTTGTGGTCTTGCTGGTGCAGTTGGCTGGCGTGTTGGCTTACAAAACAATAATTACTTAACTTAGGAGACTTCAACAGTGTAAGACACTATAAAAATATATGTTCTGGTTTGTCAAGTTCTTTTGTTGCTTTTACAACCATGGACTAGGTTTAGGTGACAGGACTGGCTCTGACTATAATTTTTAATAATGTAAAACTGACACTGTATTAGATTATAAAGAATGGGAGAAATAAAGGCAGGTTGAATGACTAATTAATGTTCCAAACATTAAGTCACAAACAATTTATACATGTATAGCGCTTTTTGAGAAAAAATATCTGAGTGTTTTACAAAGACTGAGTGGAGATCAAGCTTGTGAGCGTGATGGTGGTGGGGGTGGGGGGAGATTACTAGGAGGGTAGAGGTGGCTGATGCAAAAGTATTGTTGGGTGGCTAAGATCAATCAACGTGATTATTCTGTGCCTGTTAAACCTGTTTTGGTAATTTATTTTGGTTTTATATATACAGGAGGCTGAGAAAAGGCAACGAGAAAAGGAAGAGGCGCAAAAGAAATATCAGGAGCAGAAACAAGAGAAGTACAAAATACTCAGTCAGAAAACGAAAAAAGGGCAGCCAAACTTAAATGTACAAATGGAGTATCTGCTTAAGAAAATAGAACAAAACCGGGAAACAAAATAGGATCATATGCTTCCGATCTCAACATTCAGCTGACATTTTGTTACCATGGCTAAAATTGTTGTTTTAGATGCCGTTGACACCAGAATTTAAGTGCAACCTATTTTTCAGAAGACAATAATATTGTATTTGTGTACACTTCGTGTTTGCTGTAATCAGTTGGAAAAATGCGATGAAAATGAGAATCAGATGCAACACGCCAACACAACACCTGGAAAAATACCCTTTAATTTTCTCCTGAAGTATTGCTAAATAATTATTAAAACTATGGAATCTACTTTCTGTTTTATTATATGTATGGATAGTTCCATAAGGATTTATTTTTTTCCTATGGAAAGTATGTTACTGATTTTTGTCATAAAGCATTGTTCTAAAAGTGTCACTGGATTATTCAATACCAAACATTTACAAGAACATCATATATAAAAGTTGTGCTCCTAGAGCTGACTACAAGAGCATTTAAGAGACCTTGGGGAGTGGGGCTGGCTTCCATTTATACTTGCAGGTATGGGTCCAATTTGCGGGTTGGATGATGAGCAAACTCACAGGTCCCAATAAATATGTAGCTAACATTGTCAAGCAGTGGGCAGCGAGCTGGAAGTGGCTGTGAGGCCATCAAGAAGCGGTCTATAGAATATTCACACAAGTCTTCTGTAAGTCCGTGTTCGATCGTTAGTGTGTTTTCAGTTTTTTCGTGATTGAATATTTCTTGATTTATGACATAAAAGTGTCACATGACATATATCAAGAAATATTTAATCAAGACAACTTATTTTGTTGGCCGGACATAAAGGTTGAAATTAAAGCTGAAAGCTGAACTAAAATAGTTTTGTAGTCCTTTGGATAAAGATGATCCGCTTATGCATGCCTGTGTGGTAACGTAAAGAATTTGCATGTTTGTTTGTATCGGTGCTATTAGAGATTTGATTGGGTTTTCACTATTTGTATAGTGTTAGTGAAGGCTAGGAAATGCACCTAAAAGCAAGCAAATTTCCTCTTGTTTTTTGTAATTCAGCACACGTTACTTGGCAAATCAGGGTGCCATAAACCTTTCCAGCAGGAATTTATGGATGCATGAATATCTTGATGTTGTGAAAATATTCCCGTGCTCATGTCAAGACAATCGAAAGGGCAAGACATGTCACTGGGACTGCTTAATTCAGATCTCCAAATTTTATAATAATAATCCTTACATTTGCTATAGCACCTTTCACGTCGGGAGGACATTCCAAAGTGCTTAAGGATTGTAATTTCCTGTGCACAGAAACAACAGGACACAGGTACAGGACTGCTTGGGCCGAGTGGTCTGTTTCCAGGCTGTAAATTCTTCGTAAATTGGTTTGTAGCAGTTCTGGATATGGGGGAAAACAACAATTTTATACAGCCATCGGTCTCTGAAGACAGACCATTCATATAAAAGTGGTATTAATTTTGCTGTGCACACCCACCACAGATTTTGTACAGGAATTGTTAACCCACAACTTGCAAATTTGTGTTTCTCCCCACCCCCCCATTACACGTGTGTTATTTTGTACGTCACTTTATATCATGATGTTGCTCCTAAACAATGAAGTACAAAAGGATATGAGATGAAGATGAATATAATTAATGTTAGATTGTATACTGTTAAAGGAGCCCTCAACATGTTAAATTTCCTACAAGAATTGTATGGGTTTTTAATGGTAATTCATGTATATTCTAGGTAGACAACATTAGTAAATCATTGCTTCAGGTTTTGGTTTGATTGGGATCATATAAATAATCAGATGGGGAGAGCGGAACCATCGATCAAAAGAGAATGGAGTAGAAGGCTTGTTGAGAACAAGTTATAATAATAAGCCTTGCATTTGATATAGTACCTTATATCTTTGAGGCATTACAACGGGTTTCACAGAATATACTGTAAAGTGAATAGACTATTTTGTGGGTGAAACGCGGTAACCAATTACGCACGGCAGTGTCCCACAAACAGTCATGGGTTGAGTGGTCAATTTCTTTTTGATAATTATCAAATCCCATACCCAGAATCATTTTAAAATGCTTGGGATTGAGGAATTGTGCGTGATTCAGTAGGGCAAAAGTTAGCGCCAATACCTGATTGGAGAAAATCCGTTATATTGAATCATATTGCAAGGAGATTATAGAAGGCGGATGAAATTAAGGGGGAAATGTCACAGTCGATCCTCTTTACGGTATATCCTGCGAAGCACTTTGAGACGTCTCAACAAGACGATACGGCGCGCGATATCAAATGCGAGGACTGTTATTGCGTCGGGATGCGCAGCGCTGATAGTAAACGGTGAGATTGGAGGAGAGAGGCAAAGTACATCAGTGACAACTGACGTCCAGGGGAAACGGTAGCGGAGAGACGGAGAATGCAGTGGAGAGTTGCCTGACTGAACCAGGCACAATTCTCCCCCCCCCAAAATCCCGAGCCTCGTGTGAAATGATTCCAGGGTCTGGGATTTGCCAATCATCCCCCCCCCCCCCCACCCCCAAAAAAAAAAAAAAATTTGATCACTCAACCCACAGCTGTTTGTGGGACGGCGAGAAGAGAAGGCACAGCAACAGGGCGACATCCCCTCGTGTGTGCGTTGTGCAGAGGCTGCGCTGTAACCAAGGTCACCAATGTAACCAGTCAGGGAGGAGGGGGGGGGGGTTGTGGGGGGGGGGGGGGGGGGTTGTGGGGGGGGGGGGGTGTTGGTAGCCATGGAAACAGTAAACAATGCAACCACCTCCCTCTCCCTCTTGACACGCGTCAATCAAAGGGGCCGCAGGCAAAGGTGAAGGAGTGGAGGGAGGAGAGGAGAGGAGAGGAGGAGAGGTGTGTGACTGTGGCTCTCCTCATTGCTGACTGAGTACGTGTCAGGACCGGGATTTTGGTACCTTACACAGTAGCGACGCCAACCCCTGCACCAGGGGACCACATGAGCCCCTGGACGGTGGAGGTCAGTGTGATGATTCACAAGTTATCACTGGGAGTTGGGGGGGTGGGGGGTGGGGGGGCAGAGGGAGGGAGGGATGGGAGGGATGGGGGTGGGGATGTACGGCAAAATAACTCAGGTTTCAATATTTTTTTTTCTCTCCTCCCAATTTCCCCTCGGCCCCCACTTCTGGGAACTGCTGACTAACAACACTTGATCGAGAAAGGGGTTTGGGGGACATCTCCTTTACGGTGAGAATGTAGAAAGCTGTGGTTGTTGAGAGGCAAAGCCAAGGCATCGATGTATGTTGGAGGAAACCGTGCGGTACATGGAGCAGGAAAAATAGGGTATTGCAGAGATCAGTAGGGGGTGGGATGTCAACACTGGTCCGGACTATTTGGGTCTCTGTGTCGTGATGATCTCTGTGTAACTTGTTGTAAATGTCTCAGCTGATGTCCTGCTGAGATCAGCTCAACTAGAACCACAGTTGCAATCTCTCGACTTTCTGGTCTTCATGTTCTAATCGTTGGCTTGAACACTGTATGTCATCCGGAAAACTATTATCCGCTGATGGAAGTAATAATAATAGATAGTTTCTGTGAGTGTGGAGGAAGCTTTTTACAGAAGTGCTTCTAAGTTCTCTGGGTTTAAAGGGACAGTTTAAATCGCAGCTCTCTTGACCACAATCACCACTTGAACTCTGCTTTCGAGACCTCAACTCTTGAGTGCCCATAACCCACAAACAGACACCACGACCTATTTTTTTGGGGGGTAGCAAGACATCATTGTTCATTTATGATTTTAAAACCCAAGCACAGACAAAATAAAAAGTAGCAAAATAAAAAAAACAAGTATTTTTTTCCTCTAACCAACACAAGTAAGTACCTGAATAAAAGATTAGATCCGCTCACAGAGAGGGGAAGAACAGAAGGTTAAAAGGGTGTGATATCCTTGATGATGGAAAAGTCTATGACAAAGAAAGGTTTGGTAAAAGGGGGAGTGTTGGGAGCAGCATCAGTAAGTCTAAATCCAATAGTAGGGGATTGACCTCTGGATAAAAGAATAAGACAGGGATAAAAGACAGAACCACTGGTCTTGGTGTCACAGTCACCCCCAGATAAGCAAAAGTAAGCATTCATTGCAAAGAGGTGATTAAAGTATCATAAGGAAGATGGAGAAATCTCTCTCTCTCCCCCCCCCCCCCCCCCCCCCCACACCAACACCCACACAAAAGCATACAAAAAATTGAGCCATTGGAAACATTACATCCCCATCCTGGTCAACAAAAGGATGACAAGACAACATATCACAGGCTTTTATGACAGTTATCATTGCAGATAAAGTTAAAGCACCCTTGTTAAGATGAAGGGTAATTGTGGAGGGCTACTAAGTGCAATGCAATACTCCCATTAACCTTTTAAATATTCTCAGTTGTGAGGTTCGGCATGAAAATAAGAGGGGATATTTCTATAAATAAGAATATCTTTGGTTTCAATAACTGCACAGTGGAAGTAGAGGCAGTGGTACTAAAGTGCAAGATTTCTCATTGCTCCAGCAACCCAAGTTCAGGGAGTGTTTTTGAACTGTTTTTGAACTGTGTAGCAGTTACACCTCATATGTTCCTGGTATGAAATAAAAGGTTGGGAGCAAGTGCTTGTAACTTTTGACGCATTTTATAAGTTTTATAAAACCTTTTATTCTTAAAGACCATATATTTTCTTAAACATCTAAGAATCGTTCCTTGGACAAAGTTTCTTTTCAAATATTGCCTTTTTTCTTAGCATCAAAGCTTTCTATTCTATTTCTCCTTGTTTAAACAAACTCTCTTGATGACCATCAGATCAACTGTTTGCAGTACTGTTCCTCCTCCTCGATCAAAACAGCATGCATGAAGCACATCAAAAATTGTGTTCTCTCATTACTAGTCAGGTTGGAGGTCTGAATCAGTTTGGCAACACAATCTAGGAGTGACTGTAATGAGATATTTCCATAATTACAAAATGTATAGAGGAGCAGCAAAGTGAATGTGTATCATAGGAATATGGAAACCTTGCTTGGAGCTTGTTATTGATTCTTGCTTCTCCTGTGACAAATTTAAAATGCTGGTAATGTATGGTAAAGGGCAAATTAGCACTTCTGGATTGGTCTGATCGGATGTTGCTTATCCACATAACAGACATGCATCAGTGTATGCACAGCTTTGTGAAGACATTAAGTGAAGAGCCTATGTGAAAGGGGTGGAAACCAATGAATCTTGATTTCTGGGAGTGATAACTGAGCAGTTACCAGGCCACAAGGTTCAAATCGTGACAGGTTTTGAAATCATTTCCTAGTGTGGGAGTTTTATTCTAGGTTTGCCTTTGTTTCCATACAAAAGATAACAGTAAGGATAAGAACTGTCACCCATGTACTTAATGTATAAAACATTCACACAACAGGATAAAGAATTATGATT